TCTCATCGAAAAATCATCGTATCGAAACGAGTAAAAAAGCATTTTGAAGGGCAGACTCTGTACTATCGCATGCTTTTTATCCCATTAAGTTACAACACTTGTCTCTTGCCATGGATCGTCGCAAACTCGGACGAAAATTTTTCACTTTCGCATACTCTCGTTTTGTCATCCGCCATTTTGAAAAAATTATCTCGCGAAACTCTGATCTATCGATTCTTGAAGTAGAGATTTCAAGCTTCAATTTCTTTTTTGAAAAACCTTCCTATCATTATTACTCGCGTAGTTATCGTCATTCGAAGTTTGGTGATTTTTTGACAAATTTTAGGTGTACCGCTTTTTTTTCGACTGAGTGTACTTATGCAGTATATTTTTATAAATATATTGCAGCGTCTACTCACTCAAGCCCAAATATTGATCTAAAAAGTACGAGATTTCACGCTTTCGAAAAAAGCGAAAGAGAGAAGCGATGTTACAAAGTTTTTCTGACAATATGGAACCGCAATATAGAGTCCGTATATTTTACCGCAACGTGATCATAAATTTTCCTGGTGCCATTTTCCCCATAATCCCTTTTTGCATTGTCACGTATTGTGATGAAGTTGAAAAAAATACAGGGCAATACACCAACCTATCTTGCAACTTAAACCCTTCCGCCTTGATTTTTACTAAATATACTCTGCTATTTGAGAATATTCCTTTCTGATGTATCTAATCCTCAGGTACTTTACAATACAGCTGACTTTAATCACATTTTTATAAGAATTTATATCAATGATAAATAACATGGATTTTTTTCGAATTTGATTAACTTAACTTACAATAGAATTTATGCACTTCCTGATTACTGCTTTTAATACCGCGGCGATCGCTCTCACAATCAGATTTAAATGGGCTAAGTGCAAAAATCCCGTACATCGCGTGGAACGCGAACAAAGCGAAAATTCCTCGTATTTGACCTGGAATTATATTTGAGCCCGGATACCATATTTAATTTGATTTACATGTCGATGAACGCAAGCATGAAATTGTATTAACGTTGAACGAAACGCGGGTTGTATTCTTGGAGGTGCAATAATGGTGTTTAATGAAATTGCCAATATCACCGGCGCGAATATCGCAGAGATATGCGGAAACGTAGATGCGTAATTCGAAATCGTGATAATTGTTGCAAGACCGCGTGTAAAACGTGCAATTAATATACAGAAGAGAATTGCAGCGCGTGCGGTCAAACGCAAACAAAAGACTTTATGAAATTTACAAATTTGTATACATCTGAATACATATCCGTCCAGCCACGAGGATTTTACGGGGTGTCTCACGCAATTTGCAATTTTAATGACAAAACCCTTCGACTTCAGGACCGATTTTCCCTCCCATCACTGAAATTGAGACTCGCGCAATTCGCAAGATTTCCATTTCACGATCCCGGACTCGCGAGAGACTTCGTGGAAAGCCGCGTAAAACAAAAAGGTTTACGCGCGAATTTGCAACACGAATAAAAGTCATTGTTATTCAGCGTTTACTTGAACAATATTTCCCAACGAAATTGCCGCGACGTTTACGCGAGTATCTACTGTAAATAAAATACTGTGGAACGGGCGTGCGTTTTTAGTGTAACAATCGAGATGCACTACGCGTACATATGTATATGTGAACACTTCGAGGAAACTACTTGTGCATGCACCCCGTGATAGAGGAGCGCCATTTCGGCTGACCGTTATTGTATTATACAAGTGGTGATAAACCGTTTTAGAGATTTGCAAGCAAAAACGCTGTGGTAGTATATTGCAAAAGAACGAAGAGAGTATCTGAGGACGGAACGCTATTTATCTAAAATCACGATGCAGCTAAAATAATTTAGGTTCTATGATCGGTATGAATTTATTCCTCGGATTAGAACGCAAATCTTCGAGAAGGTCTGTCGTTTTTTTTTCTATTATCTCGCATTCGTGTAATCTTAATTAATACTTTCGAGAGGTACCACATAATAGAATATTATTGACGAAACAGCATAAGGTAGGGTGTCCATCCGAAATGTTGAATTATAAGGATATAGTCTCCACGCTGCAAATGGCAAATGCGAATTGCTTATGGGCTGAGAAAGTCTACATGGCTTGACGCTTACAAGACAATGTTAAATCATATTTAACTGCCCATACAGCACAGATGTTTGCAGTTACATTGCAGAAACGTTGCAATCTTGTAGATTGCAGTGCAGTCTTGCAGAGACATTGCAAGGATATAAAATTGCAAACTTTCGATAGCAATATTGCAGCAATGTTTCAAAAATAATGAAAATACTATATTTTCTATTTAAAAAATTTTTCTAATTACGAGAATGTTATTATATAATGCTATTTCTGTTGATACCAATAATGCGCGAATTATTAAGTACTTGATCAGTGCGGTGTTGCTCGCAATCTCCATCTATTGCCAAGCGACATAACCTCCTTAGGTTGCCTCGCAATAGCTTGCTATGCATTGAAAAAGGCCCGGATGTATATGTAATTAGTAAATTCTCTGCTTATGTACAACAACGACAAATTATTCCAAAAATATTGCGCTGCAACATTGCTATAATATTGCACTGCAATCTCTCTGAGGACATTTCAACGTTGTTGCAATCCAAAAACGTTGCAGCAATGTTGCGCAACGTTGCTGCAATATTGCAATCTTGCAATGTAACATTTCTGCAATCTTCCTGCAATCTTTCTGTGCTGTGTGGGTGATGTAATAAAAACAAATTCTATATATAGGGTGTATTAAAACCACCGGATGTCCTTTTAATCGCAGATTCTTTAAAAAATTTCAAGTCAAAAATTCTAATGCAAAAATGTCGAGACTGTAATAGTTTTTAAATAATAAGCGATTATATTTTACAAATGACTGGCCTTAGATTTCGCGCGCTCAGGCACGGCGACGTTACAAGTGATAAAAGTGTTTCTATGAACGTCGCCTTTTTTATTTAATTCAAGTAAAAATTTGCAACATGTAACTTCAAAGTGTTGCAGCTGTAAAAGTGGTCGATCAATATGAGTTGCCACGAAGGTTGTTACTATGCTCAAAAAGTCTATATTCGTAGAAATACTTTTATCACATGTAACGTCGCCGTGCCTGAGCGCGCGAAATCTCAAGCCTGTCATTTGTGAAATACAATCGCTTATTATTTAAAAACTATAATATTATAGCCTCAACATTTTTGCATTAGAATTTTCGTCTTGAAATTTTCTAAAGAATCAACGATTAAAAGGATATCCGGTGGTTTTAGTACACCCTGTATAAGTCTACTGCTGTGAACAATTATTATCGTTCGGCCTATTTTGAACGCGCAGATATTGCATTTCTATTATTGGAAGGTCAAATGTTATGCTTCAAGTGTTCCCCTAATCGTAATTGTTACGAACGTCTCAGATTCCTTCTGAAAATAGCAAAACTTGAATAATATTGAATAATAACTGGAATAAAATTGACAAATGTAACAGGTTGAAATATGGGAAAATTAACTTTAATTCTTTCTATATCGAGTAATCTGCGTTATGGACTAGACCGATGAATATTTTATGCTGGTGAGACGCACGCTTTTAGCTTCGCGAAAATATCAAGTCGATGGATAAACATTACAAGCAGAACTAAAAGTCATTTAAAGGATTATATCAAGAAGAAGTCTTTTCCAGAAAGTCAAGACGATATCATTTGACGCTTTTAATGAAACATAATATGACTCATTTATGGCTACATTTTGATTTTTCGATGACTTTCGCTGAGAGAACACAAATCTTCCATACGAAATGGTTAATATCTTGCAGATATTATTATATTTTACGAATTTGTGAAAATATTTGATTTTTGAAGCCCCACTATCTTGATTTTCCATTCACAAGATGCAAAATAAAAGCTCAAGAATCTTGCAAATCATATACAAATCTCACAAATCTTACAAGATATTGAATATTACACTTTATCACTTTATACGAATCGTATTCTTATCATAATAATATAATAACTTTTGTAAGAAGAACATTTTGTATCTATTATCACAAATGATCCAAATTAGCGCCAATCATGTCACGCAGCGTAAATTTCAAAAATTTTGAATCACAATTCGATCAGTTTTCTGTCATGATCAAAATATGACTTTTGATAGTCATTATAAAGTCATCTTGACCTCGTCGTGACCTCTTGTTCTGCTTGAGCGAGATCTGAAAATTAACGCGTACAACGGTGCTTTGAATTGAACCCACCTTGAGGAAGGCTGCTGATGACTGGGATCCAACAGCGACGTTTCCGTATTGTCCTTCGTTGCGCTCTCGAGACTGCTCTGCCTCCTTGAATCCTGGTCCTCGGACTTGTCGTCCTGATTTGGCTTCAGAAAGGACTCTCGGTCACCCTCAGTGCTCTCGTCTTTGGAGTTTCTTCGCGGGTCCTGTTGGCGATTTGTTGACGCGAGAGGTAAGTTATCTGCACTGCGAACCTTACGACACAATTTGGACGTGGACCCATGGCGTCGCAGAAATTCCTGAAACCACAACGAGTCGGATATGCTCAAAGCGAACCGCATTCGGGATCATTAACGTTTTCTATCTCTTTCTATTTCTTTAGCAGAAAATTATTTAAATTTCTCATGTACAGTTTTTCACGTTGTGCGCCATTTAGTGTAATGCGTTACGAGTATAATGTGGTAGCATAAGACAGTGGACGCGTAAGTAGAACGCGGGAGTAGAATATAACGTTTGGAATCGTGGGGAGTATAACATTTCCTTGAACGAAATATGTTTAATCACGATGTTGTAAAATGTGTGCTGTGCTTGTCCTCCTTCGTGCACGAGATACGCCGGCTTCAATCTCCGGATTAAAAACCTCCAAGTAGCGAGGCGGTATTCGTTCCGGTGTGTACTTTTTGCGGGATGATCGATTTTATGTCAACGACGCAACGGGGCGAATTCGGATTCACCGCGAACCCCGGAGGGCGTTTCCGAATCGCAAGAATAACACAACGTGGCGATATACAACGCGGTATTAATTTATACATTTGTCTTGTGAATTTGTAATTTGTTAGAAATTGGGAACGATTGATTTTCCGAACGATTCAGCCTGCCAATTCCGCGGTGCTGTTGCAAAGAACAATACGCTGAATGTAGCAACTCGCGTGTGCAATATCGACCTTGAAGAACACCAAGCAGACTCTTGTATTATTAACGATAGTATTGTGCTGGTATTGTGTCAATTACGAACCAATTGTCGTTAATAGTATTGTGCCAATCGCGAGGGCAGTGTACCGCAATATGATGTGAATATTACATACATATATCTGTGTACGTGTATTTTATATATATAATATGCAAGTGTGTACGACAAATTGTATGTAGACATCTAGTGCCGACTTGGAATGAGAGAAGCGCGATTTGGGAATGTAATACACACATCGTTCATGCGGCGAAAATGAATTTGTCCATTTCCTTACAAGTAATCCACGAACATATCGATCATCTGGTGCACTACACTTCGCCACAGACTACCTTGAACTTTGACGTTTGAGGTATCCCTTTCGCACGAACTCTTTCGTGTTCATTATTTATTGAAATAACTGTCGCACTGAGGGATATGGTTATTCCCTTCTTGGTTGCGTACGTTAACAATATATTGCCGAAACGCGCGATCTGAAACTATAACAATCGTGTAACAATCGTGTAAAGTGGAAGGGGAAGATATTATTCGTCGACGCATGGGGAAGAGTTTCGACTTTCGGTCATTTTGTCGACGGTCGCGATTAATGGTCTGCGAGCTGTCGTTGCGGTATAATAATAATAAATTGTCGGACAACCGCACAACTTTTCCTCTGCGAATAGGAACGGACTGGAATTAATGAATTCTCATTTCTTCTCTGCCCCGTTGGGCCTAATGACCACTTTTCTTTCGTGTAATTGGAACGTACTCGTGTATTAAAGCTTACGGCCGCTATCTACCTTGTAGGTTAAAACATAAGTGCTTAATTATCAATTTCCACAAGGACAAGAGATTCGATACGTTGCTCAATGATTCTACATCTAATGATGTTATTAAAATTCAAGGCTAGCTCACGATAAAAGAGAGGGAAGTTTAATCAATCTGGTTACCTCATAACTGGAAATTCGTACATCTTTCCTCACCATTTTTAAATAAAATAGCCATTAAACATCTGGTGGGAAATTTCTAGTAAAATGTATAGTAAAATTTAAAAAAACCCCCTACAATTCTTCAAAATACCGCGTTGACCCACGATTAGGTACATGATTTTCAGGATAAATTTTAAGAGAAAATTCTCTCCATGTATATATCTCGTTGTTACTGCACACTTTGTTATTAATAGCGGTCTCGAATGTGCATTGTATCATATCGCTCGTATGTCGTGTTAACCCTTTGAAGCATACATTTTTCTATTGAACCATTTTTTGTGAAACTTTGTATACAAGGGTTTCCGGGGTCGCTGATTACGAATCGGTTATTAGATTTTCATAATTCAAAATGGCGGATTCAAGATGGCGGAATTCAAAACTTAAAAGATTCAACTGCAATTCAAGATATTATTAAGACCCATGGAATCTAAATCCCAGTCGAAGATTCTTATAGAATATAAAAATAGCGCGCGCGAAATGGCGGATGCAAATTTGAAATTTGATCATTTCTTAAAATTTACTCGTTTTTGGCACTACCCAGAGCTAACAACGCGGACGTGTGAGTCCCTAAATATCGTGATCAAACGGAAATGGTGAAAAACTTGAAAACTTAGATAATTCGCGTACTTTGTATCCGCCATTTTAGGTCGGCCATTTTAAATTTTGAAAATCTGACATCAGATAAGTAATGAGCGACCCCGAAAACCTCCTTGTACACAGTTTTCAAGAAAAAATCTTAAAAAACTTGGTCAATAATAAATTTTTCTGAAAAATTGCTGTTTTTGCATATTTGTCTATTTATAAAACTTTTACAATAAATATTAAAGACTACTCAACTTTTTTATGTTCTTTTATTGGTAAGATACCAAAAAAATGCAAAAAAACCCGACCTAACCCTTACGGAAAAAAGCACTCAAGTTTTGAGCGTTAACACCCGATTGTACGAATTTACTCTCAAATTTGGGTGTAAATATTTAAATCCGGGTGTTTACGCCCAAATTTGAGAGTAAATTCGGACAATCGAGTGTTAACACTCAAAACTTGAGTGTTTTTTTTTCGTAAGGGAAATGCGTTAACTAGAAATTAAATGGTCTAAAAGTAAAGAAGTTGAGGTGGTAACGTGGGTTACCACCATGCTTCACAGGGTTAGTGCGAATCTGACGAGTTCTAGGATACGCGCATATCCAAATTTTCATTCCGACAACACTTGGCTTTTCGATCTTCTATATTCTCGCTGGTATTGAACAAGGCGTACCCACAAGCAGAACAAGAAGTCACGATGAAATCAAAACATTATAATGACTATCAAAAGACACGATGGAAAATCAATCAAATTATGATGTTAAAATTTTTAGGTGAAAATTTAGCTGTTTAACATTTACATTTTCTGATGTTCATAATTGTATGTTAGTAAATATGGTAATAATGAATAGTAATGTAAAGATACAAAATATTCTTTTTACAGAAATATTATTATGATAAGAGTATGATTCGTATGATAAAGTGCAATATTCAATATTTTGTAAGACTTTTGTTCTTGAGCTTTCATTTTGTATTTTACGAATGAAAAATCGGGATATTGATTCAAAAACCAAATATTTTCACAAATTCGTAAAATACAATAATATAATATTTGCGAGATTTTAATAGTTTCGCATGCGCGAGAGATTTGGGTTCTCTCGGTGACAGTCATAAAAAACTAAGTCGAAATGTGACCATAAAAAAGTCAAACTATTGTTTCATTAAAAGTGTGAAATGATACCATCTTGACATTCTAGAAATAATTACTTTTTGGCATTCTAGAAACAATTACATCTTGATTTTAAATGACTTTTTGTTTTGCTTGAGACGCTCATCCTGCGAAGTGATATTTTCGCGAGGCTAAAAGCGAGAGGATAATTACACGTTGTTGTAAAGACTCGTGCGGTGTCGCGTAGAGTTAAAATCACTATCCTTGGAACCCGCCCGCCGATTTGACTGATTTCCAATTTCAATCTTCTCGACAATACTCGGAAACTGGCTGCACGGGCCGACATGGTTACATGGCTGCTACGCGACGAGCTTTTGCGTCCGCTCCGGGAAGGTCGCGGCGAAATCGTACCGGCAGATCGATCGGCGGGTTCGAGGACGTGGCTGTCCACCTCACGTAATCCATCGATCTCTCTACGTGGATTTTTCCCGGCACGATTACTTACCTGCGATAGGAAGCCGGCCACGTCGATGGCACTGTTGACGCGCGGCCTCGAAGTTCTCGGCCAGCCTAAGGCTCCGCCGCTGTCTAAGGAGTCCACGTGATGGCTCGACCAGTGCAGATGCTGGAAATTTCAGTCGTTTCTGATCACGTTATCGGTACAGGAAGGGGAAAGCGCCGATCGACGGCGGTGATAATTGCAGTCGAGTGCGGCCTCTCGAGAAGCGTGACGTTTTAATGCACGTGGGATCTACGTGATAAGAAAAGTTGAGAGGCCGACGGGGGCGGGTGAATGAGGGTGCCGTGTCATGAACAAAATTGCAGAGACGAGAGTGAACTATAGGATGCGCTAGAGGTCCCGCGATTCCTCTTGCTCGTGAATCTCCTGAATTACTAGCCAGAGTTCATGGATTAGATAGAAGAATAGTTAGTTTTCTGCAACAATTTCCTCATTCTAACTAAATATTTTCGAATAAGACATCAAATTCCTCCAATTTGTTCCAACGTGGAAGACGCGTCTGATTGAATTTCGCTGAAGGCGAATTGGAACGTTCATAACTTGAAGCTTGACTCTTCAAAATATTCAACATTAAATTGCAGCGTATCGAGAAGAAAACATTGAGCTAGATTTCTTGTTGAGCTAAAACACTTGCTCGTTTCCAAACCTAGATATATAAATTTCAATTTAAAGTTTGTCAAATTCATTTTAACATTAATCTCCGATGCCTTTCGCGAAGCGTATTTTTAGGTGTGTTGAAGGAAGCGTGGTACTTCTGGGGCAACCAGCGTAAAGTGACGATGATTACATGAAATTGTCACGCTCTTTATCAGGGGAAAAGAAACGCGGCTCACCGCGGTATAATGACAGAACAAATCTCCCCGTAATGTATTGTAGCACCTTCATCCCACTGCCTCTTTTCTTATTTACGTTACGTTCTACATCTTTCAAACAATTAGGACAGGAGCGCGTCTCTAGACTCTGCAATCTATGTTGCTACGCGTCGTCTGTATCGACCGACTTAATAGTCCAAGAGCTGGTCAACATTTTGTTAAGGTTTTTACATTGTAAGGTTTTATACAAGCTGAAATTTTGTAGAAAGTTATTTTTTCCCTACCTGAATAAGGAACCGATCACCTGCCTGGCCAGCGTCGGGTAGAAGTGCATCCCTAATTTTTTTAAATAGTAAAAAAGTTTTGAAACTAACATGAAGTATACAAGTTGAAATTTTAATACATAAAATGTTATACCTTTTCGAGTAAGAAAAAAAGGCAGGCGTCCTGGAACTGGTCCAGCACGTTCGCTTGTCTCTAGGTTTAAACCAACCAGGACGGCTTGCCTTTTTTCTCTTACTCGAAAGGGTATAAAATTTTATGTAAATATTAAAATTTCAACTTGTATACTTCAAGTTGGTTTCAAAACTTTTTTACTATTTTAAAAAATTAGGGGTGCACTTCTACCCGACGCTGGCCAGGCAGGTAATCGGTTCCTTATTCAGGTAGGGAAAAAATAATTTTCTACAAAATTTCAGCTTGTATAAAACAACCTTAACAAAATGCTCACCAGCTCTCCGACTATAAGGCCGAATGAGACTAATAACTGCCGGATTGGATTGGGATTGGCGATTGACGATTGTCCTCTAGTCAATGAGAGTCGATTAAATCGCTGGCTGCTTTGCTCTCATTGGCTAGAAAATAATCGCCAACCGCCAATCCTGATCCAATCCGCGTCAACAATTGCTAGTCTGATTCGGCATTTAGGAGAAGAATTTAGACGCAATTCTCTCGGGGTAGGTGCTAACGTATTAACGACGTACAAAATGCGCTTTTCAGATTCTCACTGGCAAATATAGGCCTTGTACCTCATACGGCGATCATGTTTCAGACTTGGGGGTTGATGTTCAGGCTACGATGGAAATAATACTTACACGTCAAAGTTCATCGTATATTCGGGAACGCTAATCAAATTCGGAGGCGATCCGAGAATCGGCTCGGACGAAATAGTAATTTCCATAAAATCGATAATGGAGATATTAATCTTATCTCGCGGATACGCTGTACATTTTTTTAGATAAGACCAAAATAGGACAATTTCAGATAAACGGCATGACACGACGATTCCGCGATCTTCGCCAAAGTGCGACTGATAGTCGTTACGAAGCTTTTCAAAAGAATATAACAAATATTTATTCAAAAAGTTAGTGAGTTTAAATGTGTTGATTTTAATCAGCATATATCCACGAGTCTGTACCATTTCTTGAGTCCTACATTTCAAAACAATCCGCGAAATGTGTCTAAGTAAACTGAATGACGTTTCATTTAAATATTGTATTAGAAAATTTTTTTTCAATTAAATATAAAATATGCTGAATTGAAAGATGTGAACTTTAAAAAATATATGCTGAGAAAAAAATATTCCGCGACCTTTGCTCTTTTCCAGTAGACCGCGCCAATTATATTAACGATGCCGGCTATTTTCACGCTCCTCATTCTCCGTCGAAAATATTTTTCGAGCACGTTTTCGTCCGAATTTTCGCATCGCCCGTTTGATAGCGTGAATCGCGCTATCGTATCGCAGAAGTGACAACTATGTTTGAAAGAAGCGCTCGGCAGCCAGTATTTCTTTCCAACGTACGTCATTCGTTTTCTTATTGACGTAAATTTTTCTGCACGATACGACGCGCTACTTCGGCTCTACTTGAAAGCATTTAAGATAAAAGACCAAGCGTCTTCGTGACTCAGTAATTGCAGTGAAAAACATTGATATGAACTGTGTGAGGCATTGTCTTAATGCTGAACGGTGATTACTTTTTTTAGCCTGCCATTAGTGCGAGGAGGTGCAACGTTCAATACTGATGTTACGAGCCAGTTTGTTCTCCGCGGTATAACTAACTCTTGTTCAAGTTTTAACCGCATCGCTTTCTATTGGGGAAAAGTGTAATCATAAAACACGATAAAACGGTGAAAAAACAATTCATTTTGTACTCGTGATAGCAACATAGACAAGTAAACGTGATGTGTAACAATAATACAAACGACACAAATAATACCATAAAGCTCGGGACGAAAGATATAAAGTAGCAATGCCCTACCTCGTTGCACCAATAGCAATGACTTTTCACGGTAATCGCTAATATACGGTTCAAGCGGCTGGCATTATAAATTCCTGTGCATTAAAGTCTTCGATATTGTGCTTGAAGAGTGCCATATATATTCAAGGAGGTAATTGAGGTGAGGCTGAGTTTTTAAGCGGCTTGAAGCGATTGCGAGGCGGTGATCTGCTCTCAAACCAAGCTGCTGGAAGTGTCGTTGAACGAAAAGGGAATTTGTTGGGAATAAATCGATCGGACGGAGATCCAGAACAAGTTCGTAATCTTCTTCGCGCGATGAGTAATTCTAATTTCTAACGCTTTAAAACGTTGCAGCGACACTTGTTGGTTTTTTCATATGCGATAATTCGATCACCGTCGTTATTTCGTAATAATATGAGACGATGAAGGTGTTTGTATCTAACAAGATGATCTAAGCCACTACATTCCTTTAAGAGGATCCCCTCAGCTATCTTTTTTACCGACACAGTCAAATGTAGTTTTTGCGCTTGTAATTCTTTTTCTTGGCTTTTATGAACAAAAGAATACCAGGATAAGTTGCGGACCATATAGCAAAATATTTTCATACTTAAAACACTCGGTTCAGAAGTCTAATAAAAAAATGGGAATTTGAAGTTTTTAATGTATTATAGTTCGTATTAAATTTTAAATTGGCTTTATCAAATTGCAAAATTCTTCCACGCGATTAAAAAGTATGCATAAAGACAAACCCAGGAACAGTTGACTTTATATAAAAAACGAAGAGAAATTAAAAATACCGCTTTATAAGTAATTGTGGTTAGGTTAGGTTAGGTTAGGGTTAGGTTAAGTTAGATGACAGCCCCCCGTGTGGGCCACCTTGTCGTGGTGGTGGTGGGGGGGAGCTTAAGGCGGGCAGTTACCGGAGTAGCTAACCGGGGTGTCCACCGAACTAAGAGCCCAGACAGGCCAGTCGTGGCCTGGGATGGCGGGCGGGCCTTTGCCCCTGTACCTGGGGGTGACGCCCTTCTTAGGGCATGCATCCTGGCATGGGGCTGGACCGCCTACATCAGGTGGCCAGAAATGGTCACGAGAGGGAGGCCGCCTGGTATTCCGCGGAGGGACCCAGGTGTGCCTAGAGGGCCCCCGGACCGATTACCATGGTCCGGGATGCCGTCCGCCCGTGTCCCATGGATGTATATCCGGAAGTACTCGTGCGGTCGGGGGAGGGCCCCTCATACGTGTCCCAAGGGTAACTTGCCCGGAAGGACACGGGGGGGCGGGGTGGGACGGCGGGTCAATCCCCATGTGTTGGGTGGTCGGCCTGCCCTCCCCCACCCGAGTAGGCGGCCGCCGGGGCCGCTCGGACATAGTTCGAGGCGGGGCCCGGCGGCCCGGGGCTCTCCGGAGCCGCTGGGACATCTTCCCAGGTCTGGTGGACCGCAAGCAAGTGGCTGCCGGATCCGTCGAAAGCCTTATCGACTTTGAACCAGCAGCCTACTTGGACGGGGGGGGGGGGCACGGAGGCCGCCCGGGCTTATTCCAAGATCTGGACCCCGTGGTCCCCCAAGCTGGCGGGGAGCTGAGCGCCGTGGAGGCCCCCCTTAGGTCAAGCGGTGGTTCGCCGACCGGGGGCGGCATGAAGGAGGCGTTTCGAACGCGATGCGGCCAGGCGGGCCAGCCGCGACCTGGGCGCCTAGTGGAGGACCCCCCCTCGCCTGGCGAATTGCTGGGAGCAGGAAGGGGGTAACAGGAGGGTCCCCTAGACTACGGGGACAGGACGAAGAGAAGAGCGGAGGGCCTTGGTCCCTCCGTCTCTGCGGTGCCTCGCTTAGAGGCGGGAGGGAGCTGTGGGTTGGGGGGGGCGTGGGCCGGGCGGGGCCGGCGCCTTTGGGGGCTGGGTCTCCTTCCGCCTGCGTCATGGTGCGGGGGGACGTTGTTTGGGAGTGTCTGTTACGATGAGTCGCGGCAGGGGTGTTTCCTCTCCCGGACTCCCCCTTGCGGTCGGATGCGGGTGGCGGAGGGGCTCGGTGCCCGTGCTGGTGGCGGTGCCGCCCGG